TTTTCTCTCTTTCCACTGTTCCTCTATGTGTTTTTCAACCAAGGAGTACCAGACCAAACGGGTGTGAAGTCAATGCATGAGGCCCCGCTGGAGCTGCAGCATTCTGTCACTCCACAAGCCACTCTGGGGAGACCTCAGTTGCCTCTTCACGTCTTTCAACCAACAGAATGACAATCAATATAACAACCCCTCTTCTCCTCCTCCTCCTCCTTCTTGTCCTTCAAACTTGATCATCTTGCCATCACCTGTAAAGCAAACCTTTCACTGCACTGATCTCTTGTATGAACTGGAAAGTAATATTACACCTCTGTGGTGTGTGGTGTGTGTGTTGTGTGTGTGTGTGTGGGTGTGTGTGGTGGTGTGTGTGTGTGTGTGATGTCTGCACAGGCTCACGCTGCCTCTAGTTCACCACTGAGGTCGGTATTAGCCAATAATAATACAGTATGTGGAGCAGCATAATACAAAATAAAACCAAGCCTCCTTGTATCTGACATCAGCTAAGTGCCACACAGTCAAAAGATCCAATCTCTAAATCTGGCCCATCTAGCCATTGGCTTATGCAACTAATTAACTTCACACACCAAAATTTGAATTTAAATTAACAATTGCGAGATATCATCAGGGGACACAAAGCACCCCACGAAGAAGTTTATGATGAAAAAAAGATGAGTATTAGAGAAGGCAATCGGTGAAGTAAGGAGGGCTTTTAGATGAGGGGATATCTCCAATTACAATCCACCGTACACTTGTCAGCAGTAATGAAATGTTTGCTGAGAGGTTGCTATTTGTGGCTGCTAGATTGGATGATGCTGCTCCACTGCCCCCACTAACAATTATATTCCACGCATAAATTTCCCTACCATCTCTTCTATTGTGTGAACTGTCGGCCAGATATACCTACAACTGTCCAAGGAGCTGCAGAATAATGGAACGCTGTCGTGTACAGTAGGTTCGACATTCTCCTCCGGCAGTGGAAATGCACAATGTATCTCAGGAGCCACAGAATAATAATAAAAAAAAAAAACTTCTGCTTCTTTTATTGTTTTTAAAGAATTACATAATGCATTAATCACAGTAAAGACAAACCGGCTTTCCCCGCATGTCATAATTGTGCAAGCTTACAATTAAATGTAAAATTAGATGTAAGATGTAAAACTCTTTTTTCTCTCTCTCTCTCTCTCTCTCTGCTCAGACTTTAAACTCAATTGCACAGGGAGCAGAGCAGTAAAGCTTTGAGGAACGGACAACTCTTTAGTCGGTTTACTTGACACCACCGTGCAGTGGTTTGCATACAGTCGCAGCTAAAAATGCAGCCGCTCTCGCAGTCGTGTGTGTTTTTGGTGGAAATGACGCGGTGTGTTCTGATCAGTGCTTCGCCGGGGTCACGTGTGGCCGCTGCGACCTGCTATCTGAGGAGACGCTGAAACATAAGCCAGGTCCAAATAATTTCATCAGATTTGTGCAGTATGTATTTCCAATTAAAGTGACATCACATAAACCTAATTAGTATAGATGCAACCTGCAACTTGATTTTCCAGTGCATGGTTTTCTCATCAAATTGATTACACAGACCCGGCGAGGAAGTATACTGCGCAGACACATACAAATCTGGCTACAGTAGACGGATATGAAAATGCATTTGTGATGTCGCCCCCATAAATATGGACGCTCATCAGCTTGAAAGAGTAACAGTCAGGTGCTTAACTTAGCTACTCACAATGTGTTTATGTGAAATGACTGTAAAAGGCCAGAGGTTACTGACATTTCAGATAAATGCACTGCTCCCTGTCAATTTGTTCAGGAAAACACATCAGTTTTGTGCAAAGTAAATCATCAAGTTCTGATATGCAGGTATCACAGACACAAAGAGAAGCTTTGCATCCTCTTGCAGGTTCAATTACTGGCCTGTGGCAGATACTAATCCTATTCTACTGTTCATCATGATTGAGAATGTACAGACCATCCAATGACTTCATGCAAGAGGAGGCAGAGGGTCAAGCAGTCACACGATCGTCTCACACACACACTCGACTAGATAAAAACCACACTCACGTACTACACCATCCACTTTAGCATAAACTGCAAGTCAGTAACAAGTCAATAGTGTTGATTATTTGCTCTTCTATCCTACTGTGTAATGTGCTGTGGGGTCGTTTACCGTGAAAAGTGATGGGAAAAAACTATAATACACGTGGCACGTCTGTGCACAAAAATGAAGCAGAGGATTTCAAGAGAAGAGGAGTTTTAGTCATTTCTGGATAATTAAAGACATGCTTGTACTATAATTGGAAAGATACAATGACACTGGGATATCACAGCACGCCAAATTGGGAGAAAAAAGAAAGAAAGAAAAGAAGTATAAGTGCACATAAACACGAGTCCCTTTCTTGAACTTAAGAGGAGGTAGAGAGCTAATATCCAATAGTTCACTAGTCTGCCCATGAGGACACATGTGGCATCTCAGGTATAAGATTACAAACTAAAACGTCTTTGTTCGCTAACAAAGGCTTGTGTTAATTAAGGGTGATGTGACCACAACAGGCATCACAGCAGCTCTATATCCAACTTTTCCTACCTTCCCCTCACTGTTTTTGTGTTGATTATTTTTTAACCAGTGCAAAAATGATCCAGTACTCTGTTGTCAACCAATGCAGGACAGTTAGACTGTGTACAGACTGATATCAGGTTTATTGGTTTCAACTCTGAGGTAGGATCTAGAATAGCAAAGGGGACATTTGTTCAAACTCAAGTGCATTAAAGGGGCCGAGCCATGACAATCAGTGATGTGGCGATGCGCGGTTGGCCCACTGGAGTGTGTGTGTGTGTGTGGGGGGAGGGTAGGGGTGGGGGATAATGCCTATGCTGGGTTTTAAAAAAAGAAGAAGAAAAGAAGTCAAAAATAACTACCTGTACAGAGCGCCCCACATCAAAGGCACTATTTTCAATATTTCCATAAATGCCACCGCTACTCTGTGCATGAGTCGACCCTGTATCACAACCGCCCAGCGTCCCCACCTACGGGCTTTCTCATCGCTAAGGTGCCTTCCTAACTCAAGCTTTTTTTCCTAGCAAGTTTATACCACTTGCCACAGACATCTTGAATGGGCATGATATGCCTTTGCATTTTTTTTTCCTTAAATGAGATAAACAAAGCATTAAATAGAATTACAGAAATAAATACATTTTATTTCATATAAATATGTGGGCCCTTATGTCCAAATCGTCACTGACACACTTGTTTTTGGGAATAAGATGAAGTAAACAATTCATGAAATAAGCTGCCCTACTTTTTGATACACTAACCTTATGAGTACTATGGTTATTGTGAACTGATCTCAGTGTTTGAGTCACTAAATCCCATCAGTAACTATCACGCACTGTAAATCCCCACGTTACAGTGCATTTAATTAAATATTATATTGTAATTTAATAGGAAGCCCTTCCCTCTCACTCAGGGGGGGTAAAAAGATCAGTGATCACATCAAGGAAGTCTGGTCCCTTTATATAGGCTTATCTTTTAGATTGATTTAATGTAATAATGGTAATGGTAATTGTGTATATATATATACAATTCCTAATACAGACCCCAAAAGTGAAATATGATTAAAGAGACAAAAAGATAAGGAAAAATCCAAATCAGGTTCAAAGTTAACATCTTGCCAATTTTTCCCCCAAGGCCGTTTTTTTTTTTTCCACCACGGCTTAAAACCTGGATTTGTCCACATACGTACAGTAATATATATTTTGTAATCTCTCAACGTCTCTGGCTATGTACAAGCTATACAAATAAAGAGCAGGCTGAGGGCCAGGTTTTATAAGCTGTGCAGAGGGAGCAGTTGGTTGGGAAGTCTCCCAGTCTCCCGGCTCCTTCCCCCGCAGTCTGCCCATACAGGTGGCTGTTCTGCTTCACTTGCGATCGTCGATGGTCTTAATGAATTCCAGCGCCGCGGTGAACTGCATCCACCAATAGGACTCCTCCCCACTCAGCCGGCTGGCATAGAAATTACTGATGTACTGAACGGTGGACAGCAGGCAGGGCGGGTTTGCCTGGAGGGGAGGAGATGTGGGGATGGGCCCACATTAGCTGCTGAAGGAACCTCACGCAACGCCGTACAGATTACAATCATAAATATGTAAAATATATCCACTCAGGTGAGCAGATAGTAGCCTTTATGGAGCCTTGCAGTTACAGTACAGTCATTTGGGTAAAAAAATCTGATTATTCCTACTAGTTATTTCTAAAAAGTCAATAAGTGATCAATACAGACGGTAAAAATCCTTGCAAATTAAAGAGCTTGTTTAAAAATACAGCTTAGTGTTCAAAGTGTGGATGATGTAAGAGCAGACTTACCCTTATGAGGACAAAGACAAGTACAGGGACAAAGTCGTCCGCTCCAGGGACGGAGTCTTCATTGGCCAGACTGAGGAGGTTCATGATGGTGGAGCACATGCGCAGAATGCACTGGACTTTGTCTCGTGGCGTCTTGTATGCATTGATGGTCCTGATCTCAGACTGAGCAGAGGGCCATGGCGCCTCCTTCAGGTAAACCTGCAACCAGGGGAAAAAAAATACCTCATCAAGTCTCTTCCATCTCCATAAATGCAATGAAGTAAAGAAAAAAAGTGTCACGAAGAAGATACCTCTGGGACTTGAAGAGCTTTATGATTAGCCGTCACAACTTTTGAGAGCCGCTGGATGTGTTCATGGAAGAGCCTGCGTGAGACAAAACAACTCAGTACAACAGAGAGGCAGATTCTGTCGAACAGTGCACAGCTAGGGAAACATATCCATCTAAATAGTAAGCACTTTATTTGAATTTACCTTCCTTTCTGTGGAATGTTAGCAGCTAAAATTAGCATTCCTAGTTTAACATCATACTTACTCTATATACTACGCATACAGGCTTTGGTGAAAGAACATTATGACTATTGTCACACATCACAGCATATTCTGAATGTGTGACATCATTTTAAATTATTGTAACAAATACATTAAGTGGATAAAACTCATTATATTTAGAGCAAAATAGTGCATGAGTGCAAAAAGGAACAGACGTTTCAGACCTCAGTCTATCAACACACCCGATTAAACACTCTTGCTTTTGTAGGTGCACTATCAAAGTCTATTCACTATTCTGATTGATGTTACTTTCAGTCCTGGAGGCCAGAGCAAAGCACTGCTGCCCCCCAAAATTTCCTAGGTTGTAAATCTTCATAAAACAACTAAATAAAATGGAATACTGCCTGTTGGGACTGTGTGGCACTGGTGTTGTTCCAGCTACTCACTGGTCTCTGAGAATATCTCCATCCTGGTTGGGGTAGAAGGCCAGTTTGAAGATGCGGTTCATAACGCTGCGCTCGATAGCCATCTGGGCGTCCTGCAGCTGGTCCTCGCTAGCGTACTGCCAAATGGCATCACTGGCCATGGCGCCGTACAAGTAGCGCAGAAAATCCTCCACTGCTGCTGTCTTGTCATCCGATGCTGTGCACCCCTGGAACGCTGGAGGGAAGCAGGGAAACCAACAGATGTAACACCGGCACAGGACATAGCTGCAACCTCTACTGTGCAACAACAGGATTGTTTTTAAAGCGAGTCAAGTTGAGCTTTAATGTTGTGTAAAGACTGGAAATAAATTCAGATGTTCAGATCTCATATTTAATAGTCTTCCTTGGTGGAAGAACAATCCTCCCATCATATCTGTGACATATTGTAGGGGTCACCACCACCTGTTCTCTTCTTGTATTTGGGGAGTGATATTGGGAATAAAGTTTTGATGGGGCCCAAAAAAAGAAATCTGTGTGAGCCTGAACTGAGCGTGAACCATGGACAGTTTTTCAGGCCGACACGAAATTCCGGTGAAAAAAATTAAATATCTGTTAAATACCTAATTAAAGTAAACTTACAAACTAATAACTAACAAATTCCCTCATTAATTACAGTTGTTTACATTATTAATAAAATATTAAATCTATATTTTTCTAATTCTCTCTGAGCCCAACCCGTGGTAGCAGTTTTGGGCCAGAACCCAGCCAGGTCAGGCAGAGAATTAAAGCAATACTTGGGAAAAGCATCGTAAATCATGCCTAATTAGCCAAAAGTGGCAGAAAATAGAATGGCGGGAAGGCTGGGATTCACGGTTACACTGAATGTAAAAATGTAGAGATACCTTTAATGAAGTCAAGCATCTTGGACTCCATGTGTTCAAGAAGGAGCCGGACGCAGACAGTGGTGAAGTAGCGGTTGGCCACCTCCTTGTCTCTCAGCACCCTCTGGAGGAGCCTCTCCAGATGAGCCTGAGAGGTCTGCAGGCCCTGACGACATCTGGTTAGATAAGCTATGTACGGTGCCCGCTTTCTAAAAGGAAACACACACACATACATTTGTACTATTATTGCCACAGTACTGCTGCCTACATCTCTGTAGTTACCTAAAACAGCATTATGCATTGAACTAACAAAATGAAAGACCCATGGGGCTAAGTATGCTTGCGCCGTCTCTCCAGGCCTCCACAGTTACCTGTAATCCTCCGCGATGGCAGCAAGCAGCTTCCTGCAGGTGCGTGCGTCGAAGCGGCTGACACAGCGCGTGGTCTCCTGGATCTGGGCCATCTGGTTCTTATCCTGAAGGTTGATGGCCTCTGCTAGCTGGATCTTCAGGAAGCAGACGATCTCATTGTCTGAGAGAGAGGAGGATAGGGAGACAGCATTAAACAAGGCCGCTCACAAAGGAACGGCTGCTTGCTGTAATCTGATCAACCTGCTGCCTTCACATGACAGTGTGACTGATGGCCACAAAGATGGAGTCTTATGGTTTTACTGTTGACTATTTCACAGGATGTCACTTGATTCTGCCTGCGACTGTCCTGCTTCAGGATGTGAAGGTGACATCGTGCAGAATTGGGAGGTCTGTCTTTATTTTGTGCAGCATCAGAATACTCACTGATAAAATGCTGCACCAATATGAATCTATGTGGTATGATGGTGTAAGAGTGTGATATTTTACTGACACCATATGGGAATTCACTTTTAACATCCCCCACTCTTCCAACCTTGCCCCAAACCTTGGAAGGCGAGTCAGAAGGTGAAGGTGGTGGTACAGATTTGGCGTCTTGCTTAAGGACACTTTCAGCAGGTTGGATGCTTGCCAACAGTAAGAGCTTGTACCCTGCTCCCTATGGAGAGTTGTGACAAAGATACCTAAAGTCTAGCAGATAGCAGCAAGTTCTATTTAATACACTGTCTAACTCTAAACATGTTTTAAATGAATTGTGCTTAATGATCAGTTACCACCAATTATTTGTCTCTACAGGAGCACTAACACCTGTCCACCAACTGAAATGGTTTAGCCCTAAATGTCCCCACTTTTTAAAAAAGAGAAAGCAAAAGCAGCTGTAATACTTCAGTTCCAGTGTAGAAGGAGTCAAAGAGCAGGCTATTATGAATTCAAGCACTAATACAGGATTGATTTTAGCATAGATGCTCGAGGGATGCCTACCTTCACAGTCCAGGTGGTCAGGCAGCCCATTTCGTGTGGTTGCAGGAGCCATGATGGGCAGAGCCACTGAGTCTGCAGAGCACAACGCCAACCTCAGCTTCTTCTTTGCATCACTGGAAGACACAAATAAAAAATAAAAAATCTGCTAAGAAAACTAGAAAGTGTTGAGCGATTGCTTGTGAATTGGGTTCTGTGTTTTTCTGCAGAATTCCGACCTGAAGGAGAACTTGGAGTCATGCTGCCGCGCTGTCTGGCTGGCCGAGTCCAGAAGGTCGTCTGTGGAAATGTTCTGCAGAGTGTCATCTCTAGGAGAGTCATGCACGCTGTCCTCAACACAAAGATCTGTCGACGTATATAAAAATAAGCAAATTACTCACTTTATCTACTGCAAGTGTGCCTAATGGTTACATACGCAAGAGTGTTGTTTTCCTGACCTCCTGTACCATCATAAGACGCTCCACCTGTGGCGCCGTCACTAGGGCTGGTCCTCTTGATGTTCCTGTACTTGTCCAGGATGTCTTCAGCTGCCTGCGCTTGAGAGCTTTGTCTGGGCAATGGGTCATCTGATAAACCCAACAACACACAAGAAGCATTAAAATGCAACCCACCATAATAGATACGTTGTTTAGTATGCGTTTAGCAACACTAGGAGTGTAATTAAACCAAACCAGGACACACCTTGTGGGATACGCTCCTGGGCAACGTCGTCTTTCTCCTGCTTGTCCCTTTTCCGAAATGGTATCGGAGCTGTAGAGGACAGACACGTGATTGGTGGGCTGACAGCACCTTCACCATGACTGGATGACAAGCTGATCATGAGTCACCTGCTGACAGCCACTGACAGCTAAATCTTTGGTATTTTTTCATGGTTTTGGTTTCTAAAAATATAGGATGTATATGCTCATACAGCACCAAAAAAAGTCTTGTGTAGAACTTTACTAAGAAAAAAGCAAAGGAACACGAAAATGGTGAATTAAACAATCGGTTCATAGCAGAATATCACCGTAACTCAATATAAAAAGTCCAGTTGATGTAGATGTAAATAAGCTTAATGATGCTTATCCTATTAACACGAAGGTGCAAACAGGACAAACAAGAGACACAGATTCTACAATTTGATGACACACACACAGGAAACACTGGGTGGGGTAACTACATTGATATTCTGTATATTCCAGGGAGTAAAATGGTAACATACTATAGCAAAATAAAAACAAAAGGGTGGTAAAACGGATGCATGGATGAGAAGTGTGGGCGTAAGAACATGTCACGTCACAGCTCTACAGCTCTAAGGCGACATATACAAAGCAGCACGGGCACGCAGCCGCTGGCTCCAGCAGTAAAGCTAGCTCAATGACGACAGCGAGAAGCGTTACCTGGGACATCACTCTCAGCCGTCCAATACAGCACTGTGAGGGACACAACAGACAGGGTTGGCCTTTCACACACAGGCTGCCGCTCTGCCGGACTACTGACTGTGCGTCACCATGCAGAGCAACAGGACAAACACAATGGACTCTACAGAGACTTGGCGGGAGATTGGTGGTCTGGGCTTCACGGCTCTCTACTTTCCCACGTACACACAGTCCTCCATTTTATGAATATCAATTTAATGTTTACTTAAGAAACATCATTATCTCAAAGAGTAATAAGCAGTCATTCTGTGTGGGCACAGCTCATTATTTCCCAGACAGAAGTATGAGAGATGGTTGTAGAGTAGAACTGCAACAAGAGATGTGTCATCTATCAGTGCTGATGACAGAAAGGTCTATCTAATGACCATTAGCCGCTGGCTGACAGCACTGCTGGGAGGGCTACAGCCATACAATCTACACAGCTAAAGCTCCTCTGATGACTGATTAGCTTTGAAATGTCTATATAAATCTGCAGCCAGTGAGACGTGAGAGAAAAGGGACCGGACACGTCTCTGGAGTAACTTCAAACAACAAGAAACATAATTTTCCAACTGGAGCATCAGCAATGGAGTGGACAACATGGATCATCATTCTCTTTCTCACGTTATAAATTGGTTTTCGCTCTGCTCTTTAAAGTGTGATATTTCCTGTCAGTTGTGATTAAGAGAACTTTTTTTTCTGCAACAAAAAATAAAGGAGCGCTGCAATCAAACAGATCACTTTTAAATGTGTAAAAGGTAATTTTTCACTTTAGGAAAGAGGACATGCTTAAAATGACCAAGTGTTTTGTTTCCTTACCTTTGGGAATGGCAGACACAAAACGTTTCTTCCACCATGGTCTGTTGCGATCAGACTTCTCATCGTCACTGTCCTTCCTGTCCTCAGCCTTTGGATGGAAATGACCAAGATACACTTACACACACTACACTAGCAGGCAGATTATTAAACACAAAACACCATGAACTTGCTTTAAGAGAAACTTAAGTTTTAAATTTTTAAGCTGTTTCTCAGCAACATTAATGAAAAGACAAGCATCTCAGGCAATAACTAAGAGCGCTGCTGCAGCTGATTACCTCTCCTTTCAGGGAGTCCTTGCTGGGGGATGAGGACGGTCCTAAGGAGAAGGCCCCAGCAGGGTCGCGCTCTTCAACTGCTACCCGCCGGTTGAGGCCGGGGTCACTTGTGGGCCGACGGCCTGGGCACACGATGTCAGAGCTGCGGCTACGGACCAGCCTGTCAGGGAAGGAGTGGCGCTGCTTGGTGTGCTCCAGTTCAGCCTGGGCCAGGCAGTGGGGCGTGAAGAGAGAGTGGCGCGTCTCCGGCCCCAGGGCACTGGCTTCGGGGATGGGAGGATCAGGGGGAGGGTGAGGGGGCCTGGCGTAGTGCACTTTAGGCCTCACTATTGTTCCAGTGGAGGAGCCTGAGGTAATAAAACACAGAATATAAAAGGGTGTTGAGTTGATGGAGCTTTTCCGGATGAAAATGGGTGATATTTAAACATCCCTGCACACTTTGTGAGCAGCTCACTGCACAGGCTTCACAAATACTTTTTTTTCCCTAAGTAGATATTTGTGTTTAACTGTTTTTAAAGCCTTAAATACACTAATGAAATTCTACAAGTAGGATAACTAACAGCAACTCTCTCTTGCCTCTAAAAAGTAGTCGCTAAACATAACAAAACCAGTGGAAGAAAAACACCTCAAAAGTGGGGGAGAGTGCTAAAGAGAGATGTTGGTGGGAGATGAGCCCTAGGTATAGGTAGGCCACCTGTTCCAAGGGTACACTCTCTCTCCTGAAAAGGTTCCAATGGCAGACTCGTGCCATGAGCACAGTGGGACAAGGGGACAGTGCCAAAGAGCCTGGGGTGAGGTCTCTCAACCTGTCATCCCTTCACCTTGCCACAGACACACAGCCACGACCATTCCTCTCTCACACAATATCCACCTGCATTGCAAACAAACTGCGCGGGGACAAGGCCCGCTAAGAATAATTTGGGATATTAAATGGGCCAAATGAAATGACATTTCACTTATAAAATGTCCAGTAATTAGGGTAAGGCTTGTGTGAGAGGCGCAGGCACTCTTTTGGTTAATTTCACAGAGCTCAAGCTGTTCTGTGAGCCCGCGACATTATGCTAGGGATTTAATGACACTCATTTCAAGCTCTTGATTGGCTGCAGAGCATTCTGGGAGCGCAAATTACCTTCAGCGGAGGAGAGAGGATCGAACATGGCCAGTAAGGAATCGGTCTGTGAGGGTGGAGATGTCAGATGGTGTGCTCCTGTAAAAACGCAAGAGGATACAAGACAATTAACTAAATTAATAACTGATGCTGTTATTTAAAAAAAGTTTATAATGTTAAGTTAAAAAGATATTAGCTCAGTCTCTCAATGTGACTCCAAAGCCAGGCTAACAAAGAGTATTTACCGATGCACAATGACAACTGTTAAGAACTAAAACAGTGATTTAGTTTGGTGGCAGCAGTGAAGGTGACATGGATTGATAGCTCTGGCTGATGCTGTTAGGACCAGATAGACACTGGACTGATGGCTTCGCTAGCCTAGCGGGGATGTGACACTCTCCTACCGTGGCCTGACTCCTCCCCATCTGGACTGGTCACAGAGTCCTTCCCTCCAAAGTCTGAGCTGCACTCTGACCGCAGGTCCTCGATCTTGTTGGGGATGTCTTCTGAGGTCGCACTGATACCTGCAGCAGGAAAACAACAACACAAAAACAGTTGCGTTGACATTGAGGACAAAAGCAACTCAAAACAGTAAAATACTTTGGCTTGGCAGAAGTCAAAAAACAGAACCTGCATGTTCAATGTCTCTCAAACAAAAGGATATTTTTCTCTTTAGACTATACTGCATGATCTCTCTGAGATGGGAACCCACTGGGAACTCTAAATTGGTAGTGTAAGCTCCCATGGGTTAGAGGAAAGACACAGATAAGAGTGATCATCAGATGCAGACTATCCATCGGCCGGATCCCATGGGACGTTTTCCAGTGAGCTGAGCCAGGAACATCACCGCTGGCTTCCTAATCTAGGATACTACTTCATGCATGTCAACATAGCATGTCCACCTGAGCCCACAGAAAAGACAAGCCGCAATAACCTGTGTCACACAGAAAAATTCGCACTGACCCCATTACACTGGTTAACAACCTTCCCAGCAACATGACCGCTCGACACAGAATCAAGGAGGGTGGCAAACAAGCAGTTTTTGTCACTTTATTATATATTTAACTAGAATTTAATAATGCAGGTGAATTTTTCAACTTATAGAAGACAAAAAGGAGAAGAGGGTCAAAGCCAGACATGCAACTTATTGAAAGACAAAGTAGACGTAAGGCAGAGGAGGTGGGGAGAGAGTAGGTTAGCTTTATACCTGAGACAACACTGAGGCCTGGTGTGCTGGGTCTCGAGCTGACCTCTCTGACCTCCGTGTCATCTGAGGTACTGCCAACCCCTGAGCAGCTCTCCAGCTCCTGCAGACGCTCCTCCTGTTTCAGGTCCGGGGCTTCTGCGAATGGACCCAAAAGGGGAAAAAAAGTTATATAAAAACTCTTTGGAAAAACAGACATCTGACACCAGAATGTGTACTTTTCTCACTTGAAGTGTGGATGCGGTACAATTTAAAAGAAACTCATAATCCACTGTACAGATGATGGTCATTCTCTCTCTCTCTCTCTCTCTCTACCGCTCCCCTCCGTTATGATTATTGGGAAACACCAAGTGCGCACATATGCATGAAATCAAACAAAGCATACATTATCATATCTTCTAACTGCCAAACCAAACCATAAAGCTAGTACGGCCAATTCTTTGGCTACCCAATGGAGCTGTTGGGTCGAACCCAGAGGCTCCATACTAACAGCAGTACTCATTTGCATGCTCGTTAGTAATAATGTGTTGGTGAAGTGCTCTTCAGAGTGTAGTTTTCTGCTGCCTAGCCATGAAACAAGCGCTGTACTCGAAGCAAGCCTCCGCTCGTGCTATTACCGAGCAGAACAGGGGCAACAAACGGAACAAAAAGCAATCAAGACACTCATGCATGTCATTTCTGCACTGCACATATTGAAGTGGTGTACTACTTCAATTAACATAAGGCCCAGGCTTTTCAAAGAAACACTTAACGCGGTTAATAAAACACTCTACTGATTTTCACAAAGCACTGGTTTTCAAAAGGGGGAGTTAAGCACATAATCTCTCATTAATAAAAGGTTTGAACTGTATGTTCAATTTGCAAAAACAGACAAAGAAAGTGCAAACTATGATTTCTAAGATTGTATTCACATTTTGATTGGCAGAGTGGCACAACCGATGTAAACTGATGCCCTGTGTGATCGTCCTAACAATACAAGACATAAACACCAGCCTCAGAGTAATGCAATGTTAAGTCAAGATAAGCCAGATAAAAAACTGTAACCGTGTACATCGACTGAGGACAGCTGCTGTCCTCGTGCTTCCCTCCCCACAGCTCCACCACAGGTGCAAACACACCTGGTGGTCCCTCTAAGGAAACCCTGAGCTGCCTTTTACTGGCACAGGCAGATCTGCCCTGAAAGACAGGCAAGTGCACACAAATATGATGACAGATGCACACACACATTTTTGGTATGGAATGGCGTGCAACCACACCTGGTCTCCCGCCCCACCCCCCTATCTATCGAACAAACATAAATATGCATGCCTACACACATGTTCAGGCACATCTGAGACCGTCACGGAGATGAAGACAATGAGAAAAGCAAAAGAAGAGTGAAAGGGTGTCTAGAACAACAGAATGAACCTGGCTCCCTACCTGAGTCACTGGGAAGGACCTCCACGCTCCAGGCCTCGCTTGTGGTCTCTGAGATGGTGGAGCCGTAGGGGTCCAGCAGTACTGAACCCGAGCCAGGAAGACACAGCAAGCTGCCGAGCATGTTCTCTGCAGCTGCCCCTGGGAGCACACAGAGACAGAGAGAGAGAGAGACAAAGAGTTAACCTCCTTTCACAGCAAGGACCAGCTTTTCTGTCTGGAAAAGTGTTGGACCAGCAAGGAGTCACCTCTACAGTCACAAAGTCATCTTGAGGGCACCTTTTTGTACTTTACCCAGCCTCTATGTGATGTTAAGACACAGTGTTGATTCATATTCTGTAATTAGTTCTCATAAATTATTCAGATCTTTTATATGAGCAACATGCAACTTTGAGATTGCTGCTACAGAAATTATGCCTTTGGTAAAAGTCTCATGCATGTCCATATTTAATGCTCCATCCCACAACAGATCACATTTAGATGATACTAGGGCTGCAACTAACTAAACTAATACATTTTGTCTATGATAATGATAAAAAAGTCATGTTTATTGGTGAGTATTTGGTGATATGATGATGTATGGTGATGTATCACAATGTAGGGGATACGATTCAATATATTGCGATACTTTGCGATTAAAAAAAAAAAATCTAATTTTAGGAAAACTCATGGTATAAAGAACACGCCACCATATGCCTGCATGAAATGTGAAATGAAAGTTTACTTTGTCACTACAGTGAGATCTGCATTTATGTAGTCCCTGCAGCAACATGGGTCTATTTTCATTCAGTTTACATTTACAACACTGCTATCTTGCAGTTGGGGGTTTAAATACAGAAGTCAATGGCGTTTTTGATAATCAATACAATATTACAGTTATCGAGGTACAATTGTTACTCTCTCACAGTCCAAAGTAAAATCTTCAAATTGCTACACAGCTCAAATCCCAAAGATATTCTATTTACAGTGAAACTAGAAAATGTCTGGCATTTTTGCTTGATGAATGACTGAAATTACCAATCTATAATAAATTCCAATTCATTTTCTTTCATTACACTCATCAATTTAGTGAGCAATTGTTTCCGCACTATATGGTACCAAATGCATTGATTGATTTCATGTTATATCTTAATTAAAACCTGCCCCATCACCTTTACAGTATGCCTTCGGGTCTGACTTTCAAACAACAGTGTGGAATGGCCTGAGGTAAGCAGAACTAGTAGAGAAACCCTCTTTGAATGCTGTGTGGATGGGGCTTCAGATGGTGAGCTTTGCATACAGAGACACAGAGAGAGTTGGAGGTCGTATGCATTTCATGCTGGGACCCACAGGCACATATACCACTGTGCCAAAGGTCAGAGGTTAATAGTAATATCTCACCCTTCCCTGGCCTCCCGGGCCATGACTTTGAGCTGTTGATTAAGCCTAGCATTACTCACAACCAAATTACCGCTTCTCCCACCCTCCCACAAAGTCCTCAGCACAGTGTCCCTCCATCTCCATTTGGAAAGCCGTGGTTTAACAAGGCGGAAGAATGCGGAGGAGGGGGAAAAGAGCTAGCAGGTGTGAGTGGGAGTCAGTGGCCAAGGCTCAAGACCAAGAAGTCGACCTGTGGTAGACGCGCCCCCTGGTATGTCATACTTCCACTTCATGGCACACGCACGCCATGAGCACGCATGCATGCCAGTACCCAGGCAACAGTGTGTACTGATGTTGGCGGGGGCAGGGCTCTCATTGACGGTGGGAGAGCTCTATCCCGCTGTCCGTGTTTACAGTCTTCAAGGTAGGGGCGCAGAGTACTTGTCTTTCAGGTGGATGATTAAATGAGTGGCACAACAAGAAGTGAAACAATTAGAATTTCTGCCTCATTATCATGGTAATCTTATCAGTGGGATAATGAGGTATTAATGGATATTTAATGTGCATCTCATAACCCAATCCCTTGGAGAAAACACATAAGGAAATCGCTGTAAATTCACTTAATGATGGAAAAGTCCCCCAACGCCATATTCCGAAGAATGAAAAATGGTGGATGCAAATGAGAAGGAACCAAGGTCAATAAGACTGCAGGGACTGAGTGAATGTCAGAGAGAAAGAGGGATAGAGAGATGGGCAGGGGGAAGGCTGTGACGAAAGAAAAACTGAGGCAGAAGAGTCAGGAAGATGGGGGTCTGAATAACATGAAGACTCAAACATTCTGTCTACAGCCGCTTTCACTTTAGATGAGCAGGTTATCTTTACAACCTGCGTTTACTGTCGACAGAGTGCAGCGGCTGAACTTGCCCTCCACTATCTACTGAAGATGTTTATCTTATATATCAGCACATTATGATCATGCATGTACTTATTAGCTACTGCCACTGTGATAATTCAAGCTAACTGCAGGATATACTTCCAGAGACACGCAGAAATTAACTTGCTTTGCCCCTAGAGTCTATTTTTATATCAAATGCACCCACTTCACTAGTGTATCCCATCACTTGGAAGATAATTGCATATTCAGTTAAATCTAAGAGTGAGAGGCAGTACAATAAAACCTTTTACTTCATCCTCAAACTTCAGAATCAAAAGATGGATATTACCAGCTATTATTCAGTTTTTTTTTTTCTTTAATTGCAAAAGCATGTTGTAAATACTTTGGTATAGTGTATAACTCAAACTAAGCATCATTTAAAGTTAAGATTAGGTAGTGAGACAGGACATTGCATTACAGCAACGGCACTGAATTTGGAACACAAAGACACAATTTATATATCTGCCTATATATATATAAAATTGTATTAAATCGTGTTAACAAAAACAACTAGAAGCACTGGCCTATATTTAGAACTGCAATTATGAGTCTATTAATCACTTAGTAATTAATCACCAACTATTTTGATAATCGATTACTTGTTTTGATGTCTAAATTCTCTGATTTCACCATCTCAAATTTTCAGACTATATGGCAGTAAATCTTTGCGTTGTGGACAAAACAAACCATTTGAGAATGTCACCTTGGGCTTCGAGAAACAGCGATCAACATTTTTTTACAATTTCCAATTAATCAAGAAAATGATCAAGAAATTAATTGATAATGAAAATAATCATTAGTTGCCTATAATATATATAATATAGTAATAATATAATAACCTATATTATTACTTTCAGCTCAATGGGTAAACAAATGTAATTATGATGTGCACTATTGATATCACAGAAAACTATCATGAGGAACTGCAGCAGCCATAAATGTGTATCAGCAGTACCATTTGGGGTGTGATGCATTTCTGTATAGAACAAGGCTGAACTGAAGACCTGCCTTTTGATGCTATTTCACCCACAAACCACAAGGTGAAGACATTTCCCAAAATCTACTTCATCAGCAGTCAGAGAAAGTCCCTGTGTGCAGCAAATTCCTCTCATAAAATGTGTCATGATCACACAGGCTGTGCAGATCAATCAATTTGCTGACTGAATACAGGTACCACATCCATGCCCCACCTGCTATTTCCTGCAGCCGATCTTCATCCATGTTGGGGTCAAAGTCACTGCCGAGCACATCGGTGCTCCAGGTTTCGCTGACCGTCTCGGAGATGTCCCTATCATCCGTCAGACCCATCATGTCTCTGATCTCGAACTTGCGCAGTTTGTCATCCAGGTTGTCCTGAGTGGTGGCTGAAGGGGACGTACAGTATATGTTAGACTGGGCAGCTCATTAATATCTTTTATCCATTTACAGTGTAGCTGTAACTGAAAAATATATGTTAATGCTTTCAACTCAACTTATTAGCAACATTCAGAAACACACACTCATACCCTGCTCATGCTCCAAAAGCTGCAGAGCCTCCACCCCGTTGCTCCCTGATGGTCCCGCACCCAGCTCAGAAACAGACTCTCCCTCCAGGTCCAGAGATGACACAGAGTTAGAACGATTGGATGGACCTGAGGGGGGAAAATCATAAATAAAAACATACACAAGGTAATAGGGTCAGTCAGCTGTTAGCTCATAGGCCAGTTATGACCTTGTGACCTTTAAACATGTATACTGAGTGTAAAAGTGAGTTGCATCATTCTCTTAATTAGTTTGGTTGTTTGTTTTTGTCCACGTAACTGTGTGACAGGACAAAAAAGCACACGGAGAAAGAGAAAAGCATAGCAGCAATTTGTTTATATGTAGTGTTTTATCTTTATGTGTCATCAGACGGCAGACTGACCCTCTGAGATGCCTTCCAAGTTGTCACTACAGAGGGAGAAGCGCAGGGTTTTGTCTGGTTTACCATGCAGCTTAGTATCATCGGCATGGCCATCCCCCTGGGTCCCATCAGCCATCTGCAGGTTCAAAACCTAGAGAGCAGTAGAGTGAGGATGTGCATACATAAAATATACACAAAATATCACTTATGTTTGGTTGCAAATTTGCTCTGCTGTGAGTCATTCTTGCCAGAGGCATTACCTCATTCAAAGATGGCAGGAAATGGGAGAGGAGTTCGTTTTACATGAGATACAAGGTTTTTTTTATCAGTTGCATAACAGTGCAAGCACACTCAAAGCACTAAAACATGCATGACACCGACTCTAACAAGTCTTCCTCCCCTTCAGTGACAGGAAAAAATATGACACTGAATAGATCACATCATCATCTCTCCTGCAAATGAGTACATTAATTCAAGTCCCATTACCTCATTCTCTGACATCATCCCAGGGACAGTCTGAGGACCGGTTCCTAGTGAAATCACCAACACCTCCTCTGGCATCAGCTCCTGTAGGGATTCTTGAGAGCTGGCCTCTGCCTCCCCCTCCTGGGCTATGTTGGTACGGCTGCGGCTGCGAGCAGCTGCTGGTTGGTCGGTTGGAGAGAATTGTAGGGAAACACTGTTATTACCTGAGTGTTACATTCAGAGGACACTAGATAACAACATCTGTTGCTATGATTTTAACTTAAAACTGTTGCTGGATTTAGGCGTCATGTTTCACCAAACAACCAAACATTATTTGTGAAAATGAACAGCAGAGAACCGAGACTCTCATCTGGTATGTCACACCAATGTGACGCCTGTAACTGCTATTCATAAGTAATTAGAATGACCTTACCAGCTAATAAAGCTTTTTATTTCCAAATGAGCTATAAATCACAACGGCTTTATCACTTTCATGAAGGAAATGTCAGAATTACCTTTTGAATGTTTTCCAATTCTTTTCTTTTGTGGCTGAACACTGGTGTGACATTAAAGATGAGTTCATATCTCGTTTCTCGATGTTAGACAATTGTTAGTTCTCAATAATAAAAGGCTAAGCTTTCTTTTAGCATGAAAATAACGGTTTTGAAACCCCACTGTGCACAGTCGACTGGTCAAGCTGAAAACAGATACATACACACAAAAGCGAATAAAAAGCTTGGCTCACAATGTCTCTAGAAAACAAAAGATGCTATATCTGCCGGGTTATTTGAACAGAATGATGTTAGCAACGCTATTATACAGAAATGATAAAACACTGTCCGTAAAGATTTTAACATGAAACTAAGTTCACTCTTCATTACTATGCCCTGTGCTGAAACATAGCAGTCTGTGAGTGAGGAAATTAGAGCTGCAACGATAAGTCAATTAATTGATTCCATTGGCAACTATTCACTAATCATTCACTAACTATTTTGATAATCAATTAATCATTTTGAGTTATTCAAGAAAAAATAACCACATTCTCTGATTTCAGCTGTTCAAATGTTAATATTTTCTGGTTTAGTTAGTTCTCTGTGACCGTAATCTGAATAACTCTGGGTTGTGGACAAAAGTTGCAGCTCTAGTTGAAATACAACCAGACCTACGTCCACAGTGTTTCTGGGATAACTGCAGGCCTGACATAATGCACCTCTCAAGCAGCGCATGACAGTCATGTTTGACATATTTCCGCTCTGTGACTGACACACACAGCATTGATTATTTAGCTCCATCCACTGAAAACACTACAATACAATACTATGTACAGGTACTGTAACTGCTACTCACTTTTCCAATCATCTCAAGAGAACTACATTAGGAAAATCAAGAGTGTAATTACCACATAACAGTCATCCTGGGTTGTGTTTCCTTCTCAAAAGTGTTTTCTATGAACATTGCTTCCATTAAAGCATGTATAGGTAATGAACCATTTGAAGAGCATGAAAGGGATGCTGATTATATCATAGTCTTAATAATGACGCATTTTTTCTGAGAAGTTTTAAGAGATCTGAAGCTGAAACCCAGTCATTTGTTTTCACCCTTGCTCTCTTAGAGATGAGTGGATGCCATATGTGCTAAAAGAATACAACTACACTACCGCAGAGCCCATCACTGTGGGAAGTAATTGCACTAGCGTCTCTTTTACTTTGACCACAACTCAGGCTCAGACCCTAAGGGGGAAAGGTGGAAGATCGATTCTTCTCCACTCTACCTGGTAATGAAAAGCCATAATCCGCTGAATGAGGAAGCAAAAAAGGGGAAAACTTAGAAAATGAAATGAGTGGAAAAACATCTTTAGCTCGAATAATGAGCACTGTGTAAGGCAAAGCAAGCGTGGTTGTGAGCACAAGAACAACAGCGGTGCTAGGTAAAAGTAGGGAGGCGGGGGGGGGGCACTGTGCAGCTAGGAGCATGGACTGGATGAGTTTGAATCTAACACGCTACTGGGTGAAAGCAAAAGATGCATGGGGTAAGTTCTCTCCAGCTCTAACACGACTGACAGGCTACCCACCAAAAGGGGTTACTAATGGAATGTGAGCAGACAGAGTGGTGGTTGTGGGGTCCCAGGATGTTATAGCGGCTAAGTGTTGTCCTGGTCATTCATTGGCAGCACAGGAGGAAAGGAGAAGGACAAGGTGGGGAGTTGGAAGAAAAGAATACAGAGTACATTTAAAGTATTTTCAAGTATCAAGTCAAGATTGTGTGTATAAACGTCATATTTCAGAGAAGCAAGCACAAGTGGTTCATTTCTAATTAAGGGGGTGTTGCTACAGCATCATTTGTCTTGAGAATGCTAATGAAGGTAGTCTATGCATCTTTTCCATCCATTCCAATTAAAATGAGTTCATTTATATTTGGTAATTTAATTGGTTGTCATTTCTGTAATTGAGCCTCAATCCAGGCCATGCTAATTATCTTTATAACAAGCTGAGAAGAAGCTCATTAGCTTCCTATAAAACACAGGCCTTTCACTAGCCATCACATCTGAACTCTACTTGTTTATTTTACTTCTCATTAGACAGAATATTACACTTCTATCGTCTAGTTTCAAATTGTGATATTCCTTTAAAGCAAAAAAAAAAAAACCTTTACATCCTCAGGAAATTACAAGAGGTTGCATCACTTGGATCACATCAATACATCTATTCTAAAAACCCAGAGTGGCAAGAAGACGGAGGCTTGGGGGCTGTGGAGGAAGGTACCTATGGGGAGCCTGTTCTTCTTGTTGGCAGGAGTGGTAGCTGGGGAGAGCTGGGGGGTGTTGGAGGGAGTGAGCTCCAGACTGTTGCTCTTCACGGTTCGATTCTGGGGCACGTTGGCAAGCAGGGTCTCCAGAGCCATGTGCTCCTCCTCCCGAAGGTGGTCCCCTGCCATCACACTCCGCACATAGTCCACCTGTGCAGGAAGTGAAAGACTTTATTTTTCGGAATCAGACCTTATTCTCAGGAAGGGTGTGAGATGGCAAGTTTGTGCTTGCCAGAGTCTTGTTCTACGTGAATCTAAACTGCTGCAGGTACAAACAGTATTTCACAATGAATGGAAAGAATCAACACAAAAGCCACAGACAGCTTTCTTACACAAACAAACCACATCCTGACATACACATTATAATTTATTAATAGATACTGTTAGCTGATGTCACACTAAGGTCCTGAGTTAAGTGAATGCATTAGTCTCCCTTCTTACCACATTTCTGCCGTTGCAACCGATTCATCTGCAATTCAGAGAGACTCTCCAGCCTATTTTCACCTGTATGTAGGTTGCTCAGAAGAACAGTGTTTGTCACATCTATTACAGCTTTCACATACCGCTGTTGGCGTTCAAGTAAAAGTGACTCACTTGTATAGTTCCCTTTTTTAAAATATGATCTACATAGTCGTGATTGAACTCCCAGTAATTTACACTTCAAGATGATGTACAAGAGGTTAAGGAACACAGAAAAGTGACAGTGGCAGTTGGTCACAATAAAACCATAAACAACACTGACTGAAGGACGTGTGCAGTAACAAGATATCTGCTCAACGACGCTACAAACTATGGCTGAAAAAAACTAAACATACTGAGCTTTTCCAAAAGGATTTCTACTGCACAGATTTGTATTGTTAGGCATTTGTGTTATTTTGTCCAGTAGCTATACATGACCTCTGCACTGGATATTTTTAAGTAGTTGTGGGAGTTTCAAGGAAATATGCAAATATATGCAGCAAGGTGCTCAAAAAGTTTATCAAACCACCTTGCCTGTAGGGAGTACCTAAGATACAGTAGCAGTTTTAGAGTGTATTGTCCTCAAGGGGCTGCTGTAAAGGAGTGGCAGCACATAATACCTCATACCTTTAAATAGTAAACTAATGTTACATTTGGATATCAGTTGCAAGAGAGCCTACCAGCACGAGCAGCTGATTATGTGTAATATAGACCGCAGTCCTACTGAGGCCTTCGAGAAGGTTCATCGAGGACATGGGTGGGGTCTCCACTGCTCTTCCTCCGATCACAACATCCAGAAAGGCAGCAACGCAACTCTGCGGGGACAAAGAAAGGTGAGTTAGTACGAGGAGAAATATGTCGCACTTGGGCTGGAATTAATAAAACATCCAGTGGTTCAAACACCTTGTCAAATTTGGACAGACTGCTTTTCCGCCTCGGGTCTGCATCATCATCAGCCATGGCCAACTGCTGTAAAAGCTGCCCCACCTGTGTAACAAAACATGTATGCAATATGAACCTATGCTGTGGAATGATTCCCACATATATGATGTGTAAACAGAACACATGCTTTGCCACGGACCTGCATTAGATTGAAGCGGGCCACCTCATTGATGGGGGCGTCTGAGATGATACCATACTGCTCTGGGTTAACTATAGCTGGGCAGATGAAGCAGGTCAGCAGCAGGTCTGTACACATGGTGCGCACCTCGCCCACCTCAAGACGCTCCACGCATGACAAAGTCTTGTACATCTGCGACACGATCCAGCGCAGGCTGTGGGGAAAGCAGTAGGTGTTCTGCTTCAGGTAACCGATAAACTTGTTGACCAGAGCTACCAGCTTGGCTTCGTTGGCCTCCACAGCCGCCTGCACCCTTTGTTTGTAGCCCTCGGAGCCCTTCTCTCCAAAGCGCTCCTGCTGGGCCGGAGTGAGGCGCTCTGTCACCTTGGCTGGGTCAGTCTCCAGGTGGTCTTCATCTTCCACCAATAGCTGCATAATGGGTTCGTGGAGGGTGGCAGTGAGGAAGAGCTTGGCTGAGTACAGGCCCTCGGAGAAGAGCTTGAACAGGATGCTGAAGGCACAGGTTCCCCGTCGCAGTAGACGGCGAGGGTTGTCACTCTCCTTCAGCTCAAACTCTACCAGGTATCGCAACACCTGGGAGTTGGCGAGAAACAAAGTTGCACCAGATAAAAACATCTCATCTTACAGAGTGGATATCAAACTGTTGTGCAAATGTGTAACACTAGAGACAGGTAGGGCCGCTTACCTGTAGCAGGTAGCTCTCATCCTCCTGCATGATACAGTTGCCATAAAGGGAGGTGAAGACTGTATGGATGACCCCCTGGGTGTGCTCCTGGTTCAGCCTCTCTCCTGCCACCAGACAGGATGCCACCAGCCTGGGGTTCTCCCTCAACCTGGCCAAGAACTCGCCATAGATCGTCTCCTGGAAGCCCAGAGTCTTGTAGCCATCGACAAACTGTGTGTCTTCTAGCATTTTGGCATGTTGGCAGCATTCAGCGGGAGAGGCCTCCGCACTGCAGAACACAGTTGTTTATCATATACAATTCAACAGCTACAGCTACTTTATTAGTAATAAAGTAATTCCTTTTCACCATGACAACCAGATAACATCCTACCTACAAACATAGTGGGTCTAAAAGAGTTGGGTTTTTATCATCTGTAATAGTACAACAAAATTTACTTTTTAAAAATGTCACATCTTCAAAACTAAAATATATTTTAGCATTTTAACTATTTGCATTTACCAGCATTTTAACTGTCATTTATTCATAACAGCTTTCTGGAGACAGACAGGGCAGGGGTACCGCAAGATACAATTTTAAGTCACAGGCACGCCTAACAGGAAATAATAACAAAACGCCCCAGGAAAACCACAAATTGTCATTTTTGGATTTCTGTTAGTTAGCTTGACTCCAACCTTTATGCAAAGCTAGGCTAACCACGTGCAGGCTCCAGCCCTGTACTTAATGCACAGACATGAGATTAAAACCATCTTATTATCTCCCTTACGATAAGACAACTTCCCAAAACATATTTCCCAAAAGGTTTGAACTATTCATTTTAACGGCCACAGTGGATGTTGATGGTGGGTCTGACCTGGTGAGAATGAGACGATCCAGGTTGATCCTCTGCTGCTTGGCAATCCATGCGGCCCGGTACAGCCTCTCAGCCGTCTTCAGCACATCACTGTTGAGCCTCTGGATCAGCTGCTTCTCCGACGCCACGTACAGCCGCTCCTGCTTCAGGTGGTGGGCCAGAGTGTGGATGTCTGGCTTCACCATCTTCACCAGCTCACACGGGCAGAGAGCTAAATGACTGGAGCACAAAGGGGACAAGAAGATATGGAAATAGGTAAATGAGGTGAATATGGGGAACAGAAACTAAACCTTTTGACAAAGAAAAAGTATAGTAAGTCAGCTGTGTTAAAGGGGAACTCCACCAATTTCACATAAAGTCCATTTACTGGTACTATTAAGCATGTGAACACAGTTGCATAATGTCCGCTATGGCTCTAGAGATTCTGCATCAAGTCTGAGAAAATAATACCTGATGATATCATTAGGGTTATTTCAACTTTGACATACAAATTTAGAACCAAAAAACGGTGTTTTGCCTCGAAACAAATAGTCAACTCATTAATCTGTCAGACTTTAATCAGAAAGAATTTTGAAAACTTTCAATCTGTCTCCATTTAGTCTCCCTACTTTATGGAAGTGAACTGTTAAATTGCTTAAGTACCCCTTCTAGCTCCAACACAGTGAGCTGCGGGGATTTTTTCACAGGCACATCAATCAAAGAAGAAAAACTGCATTTTTCATGTAATTGTTGTAACTTTCTGGCACGGGACTTTTACTACACAGTACCACATCCTTAATTTAGTGTTTTTACAAACGGTATCAGAATTCATTATTTGAGTTCTGCTGCATGTAAAAGTAAATGTCATAAGAAGAGAATATGGAAGCAGTTCCCTTTTCGATAAAGGTCTGGCGAGTGCAAGCACACACACATGATGCTGGTGTCATTTGCATTCCATGTGCTTCACACACTGGCCCAACAACAACGGCAAACACACGCTGTTTCGCAAGCTTCAGGAGACGCTTCATAGCAGGATATGCAAATCACTCTCCCTTTTCCAAACATACACAGCCAAGACATACAAACCAAGCTGAGTGCATGAAATTTGAAGGATTTCTTGGTGAATCTTTTTGCACAAAAGCCTCTTTGTGGCTGGTTGCTAACATAGCAAACCCCGATTTAACAGTGGAGTTATGGCTGTGGGAGGAGAATGAGACTAGACTGGAGAAAACTGCCTCAGAGTGGGAATGACTGCAAGGCAGTGTCACTGCTCGCAAGCTAACAGACAACCACAACGTTAGAGCTGATATGCCTGACAAATCAAATTGGTTATGCAGATTTAAACACATAATGATAGGCTCTACACTGAATTCCCTCGGCAAACTAAGAATACACAGTGATTACCGATCTCCAGTTACTGTGTTAGATTGTCATCGTTCTTGCAATTTTAGATACCACTCCAATAAAAAATGTTATTCTACGGTTTAGGGAGAAAAATGCATATTCAAGAAATGATTTAGAAAGGCACAGCTGCGCCTTCAGTCGTTTATCAGTAAACTTATCAAACATTTGTTTGTAAATGTCTTGGTTTCATCATTTCACATCATTAATGTCATTATTTCTGTGTACTCGTAATGGCACTTATTATTTTTCAGTATTTCTGACATTTTAAAGACAAAAAAAATCCTGAACATGCAAATGAACATTAAAAAAGAATTAAAAAGAAACTGTCAAACTTTAATACCCCCTATTTATCATTTATAAGTAGTATATAAACATTTTATAAGTGTTTTTAAATGTGTGAGAAGTGATTTTTAATGCCAACTCCTGTGGGCAAGTTGCTGTATAAACAGATATGGCAGGCAATATACTCATCAGTGTTCGCGAGGTATCTCTTCATAGGAGAAGTTTTAATTGCTAATAAATACTGTACATCAATAAACACTATAAAATGTCCTCATAGCTGTGTACAACTACATTATAGTGGGTCATAAATGTTTTTATAGTGCTTATGAATGCTAAATGTTACCAAAATAACTAGGGATGCAGGATATGGATTTTTTTTCAGCCAATACAATAACCGGTAATTGCTTCCCCTGGTTTATACTGATTACATTACGCATAATTGCGCATTTTGAAGTTCATAACCTGTAGTTTTTACACACCCACAACTAAGAGAGGCTAAGATGTAGTGAGCAAAGATAGAAGATTCAATGTTTAATAGCTCTGCTCTAAACAAATCTAACTGACACAACAAAAACAAGTAAAGTTCATTGGCTTTCATATAATCTGAAGTCTATCAATCCTTTTGAATTCCAAATAAATGATTATTAACATCAACCGATAATTTATCATCTGTAATTTAATCATCCCGATAATTTATAATAAATAAACATTTCACATTATCGGACGAATTTATCCATCCCGATATTTATTGTGCATCTCTGAAAATAAGTAATAGTTGCGGCCCGATGTGGACATTTGCAGACCTGCTGTATGAGGATAAGAAGTGGTTGTGACATGGAGGGCTGCAAACATTGTGAAACATTTCTCAGAGCCTCAGATGTAGTCTTCAGAGAGCTTTCTGGTCTGAACTACAGTCCAAACTATATTCCATCGACTACCACCGAAGGCTAAGAAAACCAGCAAATATTCACATTTGAGAAGCTGAAAACAGTGATATTTTTATGCTTAAAAAAATGACAGAAAAAATTCACTGATTGTCAAAGTACTCGCAGATTCATGTAATCATTTCAGCTCTGCATTATTTATAAGAGTTACAAGTAAACTATCCCTCAGACAACATTCTGGCATTCGTTTGTAAGTTGAGTATGACTTTACCCTTGAATCTTTGGAATCCACTTTCTACTGGAAATAGTACGGTCACTGATATCCAGTCTCAGGACAGAACAGAAACTCAGGTACTGTATTACAGCAGAGAGCAAGGTGCTGGCTTTAAGTGATTGTCAACTGATCTCCATTTCATTCACACTGAAACACTTCATTTGTCTTCGGTTTCTGTTGTTTCAATTCACATCTGAATGAGCTGACAGGTAACTGGCTCACAAGCACACACACACACACACACACAGTGCACTATCATGAACACACCCCTGTTCCTGAATAAGCACATTCCTCACATACTTGGAAGGAAGTGAAAAAGCAACTAGGCTATTAAGTGGCTAGCAGAGAGGTTAACTGCCATTCGTCACGGCCCCCTGTGCCCGTCAGCTCCAATACAGACTGCGTAAACCTACCTGGTGAGTCAGTCGTGGAGCGCTCTGAGGAACTCCAAAGCAGAAGAGAAACCACACAACAGACAGTGTGAGGGGAGGACAAACCTGCAGCCTTCGGAGTCGTGTGAGAATGATCGGCGCTGTGGCAGGACAGCGGCTGAATGCGGTTCGCACGAGAGACGAGAGGACCGATCGTTCGGCCGCAACGTCTGCGAAAGCCCGAGGGTCGTAACAACAAGGGGGCATAAGAGACCAGACGCAGGGCAAAGACAAAACAGAGGGTTTAAAAATGTCTGGGCAAGTCCAATCACTTAAATCTAATGAAAACCTTCAACTGTTTTTCTAAATGTGAAGCACGAAACAACAATACTTCACAAAAAATGTAAGTAAATATTACAGCAGCAGAGTAAAGGTGTTTGGAAAGTAGCCCTTTCCTCCCACTACAGGAACACACACACACACACAACACACACACAGAGAGAGATACCAAATGTTGGAACAGAAGTCTTTTTATAGACTCAATTCAAAGGAATTTCACTTGTCTACAAAAGGTATTTGTCGTTCCTGAGGCAAACATCCTCTTCACACTTCTTTCTCAGATAATTCTTAAACTGATTCAGGCAAAACACAATCAACACGTAACAAGAACATCAGAGCTCTATGCAAGGCCTTGCCCACCGCTTCGGGGTAGGTATGATTAATACTCACTCAGTACTCTTTCCACCTAGTCAATTAAAGACTGATATTTTGCATATTTATCAGTTCTTAGAGTTGGTTAATGTGAGAAGGCGAGAGGCGCAGCACTACTCGTTTCACTTCCCATCCCCCACAGGTATATCCTGCCGTGGGGGACCTGGAACGCAGACCCACCTCCTTTCTACACCGTAAAGCGACCACGAACCGGACGCACGAAAGACAATGTCTTAACGACTTCCACCCGCGCTCTGAACGAGAGCACAGGGGTGGGCAGCGGCGAGACAGAGAGAAACACACAATTACCGTCCTCTCTAAATCCATGTTTCTACCACCCAATACGAGGAAAATCAGACAGCGCATATTCAAGTAAAGAAGGACGGTGCTTAAAGTGGGGTGTTCTGTGGACGTTTAATGGATACAACCAGTGTTTTACCAGCTCAGTCGACCTGTGCTCCAAAAAATAAATGCTGTGAACAGTTCACCACGGCCCGGCTGTACACCCTTTATCAAATACGTCCTGAGGACAAAACTTAATAATAAATATAGAAAGGTCAGCAATGACACAAACTGAAAAAAAAAGAATAGTTCAGCCGAGCGTAAAAAAACTGTCCAGCAACGCGCCTCTGGCAGCAACACGCGCCGCTGAAGGGGGTTCAAAACACTTCCTTGTTGCCAACCAGACACTCCCTCTACACATACTGGATTTACCAGTCAAATTTATAAAAATTAATCCTACAGAAGTTCAGCAGCCCACAACAAAGTAGGGCTGCAACGATCCCTCGGAGTAAGTCCGATTAACAAAAACGACGTGGAGGACTTTCCTCGGCTCGAAGCCTCGTTTAGATTAAATGCTAAAGCTCACGTTTCGCAACGGAATTTCTTTTTAGTGTGGTAACAACGTGCTCACGTCACCAGTCCTCCTACGTGTTCTGGTACCGGCGTGGTTAAGTGTTCACCGCGTTTTTTTCAGTAGGGAGTAATTGGATTAATACTTTTCCCCCATCGCTGCACAGCGCCGTTACGGTTACCTCGAGAATGTAAATGGCGTTACTACAGTTTGGTGTCGGCGCTGCACCGGCGACCAAAACTGTGAAAACAATGAAATGAGCAACGCAGAAAAGTGAGAGTAACAAGAGGGAAGAGACAGAGATGTGGAAGGATTATTTAAAATAAAATGAAGGACAACAATGGTGTTGGTGTACAGTTAAGAGACTTGACGAACCCGTAGCCCTGAAGTAATTTATTTTTATTGGACATTTTGACCTGAAACGGTTTACCTATTTGCCTTTAATAGTAATATAAATAATTTCACATTTTTCTTAAAAAGGAAACAAATTGTCTTCATTATTAAGTGATCTTATTCTTGTTGTAACCTTAAATTGGGCTTTTTAAACCTTAAGCCAAAAGTATGTTAATCCGATTAACTTCGATGGAATATTCGATAGCTGCAGCACACAACAACCAAGTGAAGCAAAAACCCAAACACAAGCCAACAACTACACCACGCCACCAGCTCCTGCGGCTCAATATCTTACTCAAGCTTCATACCAAACTGCATTCCATCTCCTTCCGCTGACTGCAGATCACTCAGAAACCACGTGAAACACCAGAGGAAAAGGGAGCGATGCAAGAATTTATGCAGATTATTCAATGTCAATCCGTAACACGGAAACGGACCATCGGCTGTTGTCCGGTTCTCTGCAGACAGATGAAGCTACTTATTATTATTCAAAAACCCAGTTAACGAAGCGAACACGTGTGATCCCTGCGGTCACATATTTATATTTATCCTCTATACACGTTCTCTAACATTATCCTTTTTTATTTATTATTCTTATCTCTACTTTCTATATACTACCTCTCTAGAGTTTATTCTTTATATCGTTTATCCGTACGTGTAATTTTTTTATAACCCTCTTTATTTCTCTACACTGGTGTTTTTTTGTAAGCTGAATGGCAAATTCAATTTTCCGTGCCGGAGTCACTTGACTTTAAACCATTTCGAGGCAATCTGAAGTCACTAGTACACGACGGCAGGAGCTCCACACTGCATGAAGAGTATGACTGAAGAGTATGCCCATGAAAGTGTGATGAAGCAAAGCTCGCTCTGCTGTGTAAATCGGTAATTCCTGGCCACATTTCAGTCCTTTTGTTGCTGAGCAATATGGAGTTCAAACTAATTCAGCAAGCCTATGTTAATTCAAGTGTTAAGTGGGGGGCGCAATAAACGGATATTTAGGGTTTGTAATTAATTATTTTCATCCTTATAATTTTAAGCTACGAGTCGCTCGAGTTCACTGAGACATCTTGGATCCTTTTCTTAGCTTCTTTTGTAAAAACGCTAAAACATTCTAATTTGATGATACAGCAGCGCAAACCTCATTTAAAAGAGGCGCTTCCTACAGGCGACAAACCAACTCAAACAAACAACAACATCCATAAAATAACAGTACACTTTCCACAAGCTTTTCACAATTTCACACATTTTACACAAATCGAATGACAAATGAAAACAAACCTCAACAACATAACCGATCCAACAAGTTGCACTTTTAACGGTTTAAGAAAACTCTTACCATATACCTACTAATAAGCTAACTTATAATACATCCCTGTCCTTCATCCAACACAAACACAGATGAACATTATACTCATAAAAAAACCTTCAACTCGGGCTACATACGTAAAGTAACACTGAGCAGATGGGGGAAATACATTAGTACTAAACGCACAAAGGCTTGACGTAATATCCAGCGTTTAAAATTATGATGTTCAACTGACAGCATGCTTTACATCCCCACGGCATTACAAGCCTGACAATTACAGACACTGGTCTGAAACGCTTGGTGAAGCTACAACTCAAGACAATCAAACAAAAACAAAAAAGGCTCAAACATTTAATTGTGCTGCAAGAAGTTGCAAGTTTACACGCCCTTTGGTGTGAGTTTACTACATTACCAAGCCGACACTTTAAAGCAGAGAACACGGACAATTAGAGCCGGGTTAGGTTGAGTTGGTGTGTTACCGCTCCCGCTCAGGAACAAAGTTATCTCTAACATCCGTCAGACGGGCTTGACAATCAAATCGCAAATCAAATCAAATCACACCACGCACGCCCCGACGTAAGTAGCTAAAAAAACTCCCACCGCTATTAAGGAACTGACCAAACACCACCCCGGTCTGCTAACGGGGCAGGCGCGTAAAGCCCGAGTGAAGACGGACTGTGCTGTTGGCACTGCGTTTGCAGAAGCAGCACGGACAGACCGCTGGTTGAACAACAACCCCTAAACTAACGTTAACCGGGTAACTCGGTGTTTGCTGCTCCGAGCAGGGCGAGCTAACGATGAGCTAAGTTACGCCGCTTAGGCCTAGCTCGAGGGCTTGAGGGCTCCGAGGGCCGAAAATGTGAGCCAACGAAAAGCATGCTACCACGAAGTTAGCAACTCACCGATCGTAATTGGCGTTGGCTGGCGCTCCGTGGTTCCCCTAAAAAACAGCTGATCCTAAGACTGTCTCGAGCTCAGAAGGTTGTTTGGTGGCGGTTAGCCGTCTCCACACTTGGCTTCTGGCAGGAGGAGGCGAACAGTGCTGTCATTCAGCTTGTCTCCACGAGAGACGTGCGCAACCAAGCATGCGCAAAGGTTATTACAAGGGAGCTTTCACACTAATGGAGCCAGAGGCCCTAAAACATCAGGTTGTACTGTCATAGTGCGAGTATTAGTAACGGCGGAGTATTAGTACGGCGGAGTATTAGTACGGCCGGAAGTATTAGTACTGGCGGAGTATTCGAGGGCCAGACTAAGAGAAAAAATACTTCTTTTTGGGGGGGGGGATTACGACATGTAAAGTCATAATATTCGACGAGAATAAAGTCATAACTAGTTAAACGGTCTACCGAGAATCACGAGAATAAAGTCGTAATAATACTGTGTCTACGGCAATAAGTCGTAATATTACAGAATAAAGTCGTAATATTACGAGAATAAAGTCGTAATATTAGGTCTACCGGAATACAAGTGTAAATATTACGAGAATAAAAGTCGTAATATTGAGATAAAGTCGTAATATTAAGTCTACGAGAATAAAGTCCTGAATATTACCGAGAATAAAACGTCCAATAATACATTCAGGTCTACGAGATAAAGTCGTAATACCTTCCCGAAATAAAGTCATACATAGATTAGGCTCTACCGAGAATACGAGACATATCGTAATCACTTAACGGTATACGAGACGATCACCAAGCGTCAATTCTAACGAGATAAAAGCTCTAAATATTCCAGGTCTACGAGAATCAGAAGATCTTATATTACGAAATAAAGTAAATATTAGGTTCTACGAGAATAAAGTTCGTAATACTTAACGAGAAAAAGTCATAATACTTCGGTCTTACGAGAATAAAGTCTTAATACTTACGAGAATAAAGTCTAATCATTAAGGTCTACGAGCATAAAGTCGTAATATTACCGGATAAAGTCTAATATTAGGTCTACGAGAAGACGCAGAATACGTAAATATTCACGAGTCTACGAGAATAAAGTTCGTAATGTTACCGAGAAAAGTCTAATATTAATGTCCAACGAGAATGAGTCGTAATATTCCAGATAACAGTCACTATATTCAGGTCTAGCGAGAATGAACGTCGTAAACATTACTAAAAACATCCGCAATATTACGAGATACAGTCATAATACTTAGGTCTACGAGAATGAAGGTCGTAACATTACGAGAATCAAAATCAATATTCGAGAATAACAAGTCATAATATTAGCTCTTCCTCCTAAAACAGCTGAATCTAAGATTTCTCGAGTCAGCAAGTCTGTTGGTGCGGTTAGCCGTCTCCACACTGGCTTCCTGCCAGGAGGAGCGAACAGTGCTTTCATTACTGTGCATCAACAGGAGACGTGCGCACCCGCCTGCGCAAAGGGTTATTAAAGGACCTTCACACTGAATGGAAATAAGAGGCTAAACAGTCAGGTTTGTAGTACTGTCATAGTGCGAGTATTAGTCGCGGAGTATTGTACGGCCGAGTATTTCAGTACGCCGGAGTATTAAGGGCCAGACTCAAGAGCAAAAAATACTTTTTTGGGGGGGGATTACGACAATAAAGGTCCTAAACTTGAAGAAATCCGACAAGTCAATCATATTCAGGTCTACGAGAATAGCGAGAATAAAAGTCGTAATATTACGGATCTACGAGAAATAAAGTCGTAATATTACGAGAACCAAAGTCGTAATATTTACGAGAATCCAAGTCGTTAATATTAGGTCTACGAGA